ATATATATATACATATATATATATGTATATGTATATATATATATATGTAAATATATATATACGAGTGTGATTTGAGTGTGATCTGAGTGAAAACGTGTGTACGTTGGTGAGGGTGTTGTCGTGTGTCTATAATTGCTATAAATAAAAGAACAAATTACAAATTGCTACACACCCACAACCACTTTAACCCGCATCACCACACACGTGTTTCGTCGCAGACGCACATACACCTACACCATCCCATACCCAACCCGACAATCCTACAACCCTACAACCCTACACTTACACGCTCCCCCTCGCACCCAGGTGACGTGGTGTACAAGGCCGACGGGGAGATGTGTGAGATGCTCAAGGGAGACGGCTCCCAAGCCACGGGTCCTCAGGGCAATCTTCTTTATCTGGACGCCTACTGGGGCATGGCCACACTCACAACAACAGACTTCTCCGTCAACGACGAAACGGTTGCGGCGATGCAGGCTGCAGATTATACGAGGCATAATAGCCCAGGTGTGTGTATTTGTGTGTGTGTGTGTTTGGGTGTGTGTTTGGGTGTGTGTTTGGGTGTGTGTGAGATGTATAGTATGTATAATTTTATCTGTATATCGCGTACGTCGTCTCATTTTTTTAATATCTGCCTCTCCATACATGTGCGTTGGCATGTTCACAATAGACATCACATTCGACACAAACGGGTCATCCTTCTTTGTAACCTGTGACAAGGCAACTATCAACGTGTAGCTAGTTTGATGGCACACAAACCATACACACACACAGGCATACACATATCTTATCGTATATAGTTGTCTACGGACACAAACATACCTATACATACTCTATATTATAGGTCGGCGTTTTATCATTCCCTATGTAGGCATGTGTGTTAGCATGCAAATAGGTATATACATACAATTTGTCATATATAGTGTGTTATTTTATCCAACTGATACATACATACCCCATATCATATGTAGGCGTGTTATCATCCATTATATTCTATCCGGTTACCCTTCTCACATACCTCTAACGGTCCATTTTTTCTGCACCTGGACACCCGACAGATGGGGCCGCCTTGTTCGACGCCAGCGGCTCAGCACTATTCCTAACGAGTGACAATTTAGTCATCAACACGCAGATGATTGAGCAGCGCAGAGGTGTGGTTGTGTATGGCGTAGACAGACAGCCCATTCACAAAAGCGAAGAAGGCGTTCATCAGTACACGCCTGAGGGCTTGCCCATTTATCTGGATGCGTACTGGCAGCCAGTGATAGGATCAATTGGTATGTGCTCTTGTACTTGTATGTGTGTGTTATGTGTGCATATGGGTATATGTCTGTATGTATGTATATATGTCTGTTTATATGTGTGTATGTATGTGTGTGTTCTGTGTGCAAATATTCATTGATATACCGTTATGTATGTATACGTAAACTAAACATCTATCGTCACATACACATACATACACATAGTCTCACAAATCACAATATAGTACATATCACAGATCGTCATTTGATAGCATTTAGAAATAAACGTTACCTTTGTTTGCAGCACCGCACATGATTGCTGATGAAACTATGGCTCAGCAGTTAGCCGACGGGTTCGTTCCGCTAAGTAGTCCCTACGGACAAGCCATGTACGACGTCAATGGAAGCGCACTATTTCTGGATCCCTCAGGTGTGTTTATTATGTGATGTATGTATAAATATATATATTATATATATTATATACATATATATATATATATATATGTGTGTGTGTGTGTATATGTACAAATGTATATGTATATGTATATGTATGTGTATGTGTATGTGTATGTGTATGTATGTATGTATGTTTTTATGTATGTATGTATGTATGTATGTATGTATATATATCTATCTATCTACATATATATATATATATATATACTATATATATATGTATATATATATATATATATATGTGTGTGTTTTTTTTTTGCGTGTTGTGTGTTTGCAACTATGTCCACAAATATATATATCTAGGTATGTGCTATACATGTTTGTGGCTATGGCTCTACGGACAGGCTATGCACGATGTCAATGGTCGCCCAGTATCCCTGTCTTCCTCAGATCTGCTTATTATGTTTTATTGTGTGTGTTTGGTTTGTGTTTTTATGTGCTTTGAGCTGTACGTCTGTTTGGTGGTCTCTGTTTGTAGAAGTACATCGAAACGTACACGTGTTTCAATATAAGATTTTACTTTTGTGTTACATATATATCAAACCGTAAAACGTACGGAACTGTTGCGTACAATTCAGTAAACGTCTTTTACGAATTCTTTTTTGGCTACTAACAAATTCGTTTTCACATTTGCTGGTCGTGTTGCTTTGTATCAGGGGCCATTGTGAATTCAAGGGGATCCGTTTTGCCATCGCGAGAGATTGCGTATGATCTCCACGGCGCACCAATCAGAGCGGTGGGAGACGACGGTGTTCCAAAAATAGCATCCAATGGGGATCCTTTATTCATAGACGCATATTTCCAAGAAAGTATGTGACTCTAGCGCTTATTGGTAGCGTGTGAATGTCAAATGCCAACATGCGATTGGTTGGAGTTATGGCGTTGTTTGCGAATCCGGATGTTCTGTATCTTGAAGCGACTTTCGTTACGTATATGTACACACACACACTCACACTCACATACAAAAGCGTATACGAATGTCCTTCAGCACGCCTACTCTCATACTCACACAGTCTCAGGCATAGTTCATTCACCCATACACCTGTGCACACATACTCTAACCCACACAGTCTCAGGCATAGCTCACTCACCCGTACACCTGTGCATACATACCCCTCCAACACACACAGTTACGGGCAAGTACATCCCGTTGGCAGAGCTACAGCTGGACGGACTTTCATTGGACGATGCCACGTCACTGCTCATGGAGAATGGGTTTACTCATCGAGATGAGCCGTCGACTAATCAGAAGCTGTACACGCGCAGGGGTTACCCATACTTCCTGGGGCCGTCAGAAGAGATCGTTGATGTGACAGGGAAGAAGGCGCCCAAAGGTATGTGCATGCGTAACGGTTGGTAGGTTAGAACACTGTTGTTTAGCTGATAGGTTATATGTTTAGCTGATAGGATGTAACACTGCTGTTTAGCTGATAGGTTATAACACTGTTGTTCAGCACAAGCCTGGATGTGAATAAGCTCTCAGAGTGCGCAGTTGTACGTAGTGGTATCATCCCACACACCGACTACGGTGTGTGTTACACATGGTAATGGGGTTTGGTATCTGTATTATACGTTTTGGCCCACTTGTCTCATTCGTATTCTTACTATGTCCACAAGTATAATATCCGTATTTCTACGTTTTCTTCACCTATACAAATATCCCATCCATTGCAGCCCATGTAGTGAGTTTGCGTATAGTCCTCTTTCCCTCACACTATAACCTCCGTATTCACGCATTTCCCCAGGGTGGGTAGCATACCTGGTAGACGGGACAATGTGTGCAAAACCCGACGACTCAGGTGCACCCGGCAATGGGACCACATATTTGGACGCCTATTTGCAGGACGCCCTGGTGCCCATGCCCGACTTCACAGTTAGCGATGCGGTGGTAGAGACTCTTGCACAGGCGGGGTTTGAGCCAAATCTGGGGTACAAGGGGAAAGCCTTGTTTACTTGCGAAGGTGTGTAGGGTTTTTAGGGTTTAGGGTTTTAACTTGCGAAGATGTGTAGGGTTTTTAGGGTTTAGGGTTTTAACTTGCGAAGGTGTGTAGGGTTTTTAGGGTTTAGGGTTTTAACTTGCGATGGTGTTATGCTCTATTTTTCTTTTTCTTTTTTTCTTTTTCTTTTTTGGGAGGTTTTTGGGGGAAGGGGGAGTGGGTGGGGCTGCATAAGCGAACCAGCTATCCTACGTAAATTTATACCTACGTAATATGAATAGGACTATATCTGGGCCCTGCCCCTTTGGAAACAGGGTTAGGGCATTTTTGGACCAGCTGTTGCACTAACTTCCGTGTAACATGTTATTGTTATTCAGCCTATGTATCTCTATCTCACGTCAATTCAACCCAACCCCTATCACAACCAATACCTTCCATTCTACTCTCAGGATTGGATATGAGTATGAGAGTTGAGTGTAAGACTTACAACCTTATAACCATATAACCCTATAACCCTATAACCCTATAACCCTATAACCCTATAACCCTATAACCCTATAACCCTATAACCCTATAACCCTATAACCCTATAACCCAATACCCTCAGGACTGGGACTCTTCAAGGGCCCCACCGCTGTACTGGACACCACCGGCGCCACTGCCGTGGCTGGTGCTGTGGTGTGCTATGCCGACGGGTCACCTGTACACACACTAGTGGAGGGCGAGCGCAGAGATGTTAAGGATGTGTATTCGTATAGCCCTGCCATGCTACCCTTGTACAAGGACGCGTACTGGAACGACATAGAGGCGTCTACAGGTGTGTGGTGTTGTGTGTTTGAATGGGGTTATGCGTGTGGGTATGGTATGTTTAGGAATACACACAGACACTGGTTGAGGGTGAGGTTCATGTAGAGACATGATAGCTTTGTAGGGTTGGTTTCGTTTGTCTCCATCACATCTGTCGCTCATTTCTCTGGCTGCCTATTAACATGTTTTACGTTACGTTTTTAACACCTTCCACGTTACTTCTATCCAGCTCCTATTCCGCTTCGTGCCCATTAACATGTTTTACATTACGTTTTTAACACGTTCCACGTTACTTCTATCTTGCTCCTATTCCTCTTACTAGTTATTAACTTGTTTTACGTTACGTTTTTACACCTTCCACGTTACTTCTATCCAGCTCATATTCCTCTTAGTGACTATTAACATGCTTTACGTTACGTTTTTTGCACCTTCCACGTTACTTCTATCCAGCTCCTATATCTCTTAGTGCCTATTACCATGTCTTAGTACCTATTACCATGTTTTACGTTACGTTTTTAACACCTTCCACCTATTTTTATCCAGCTCCTATTCCTCGTAGTGCCCATTATCATGTTTTACGTTACGTTTTTAACACCTTCCACGTTACTTCTATCCAGCTTCTATATCTCTGAGTGCCTATTACCATGTCTTAGTGCCTATCACCATGTTTCACGTTGCGTTTTTAACAACTTCCACGTTGCTTCTATCCAGCTCCTATTCCTCTTAGTAGCTATTAACATGTTTTACGTTATGTTTTTAACACCTTCCACGTTTCTTCTATTCAGCTCATATTCCTCTTCGTGCCTATTAACATGTTTTATGTTACTTTTCTAACGCCTTCCACGTTACGTTTATCCAGCCCCTCCTCTAGTGCGTGGTGCGTTGTTAGAAGCAATTACGATGGCGGGCTACACAGCCGACATTGGGCCTCACGGACAGCCACTCTACAACGCTAACGGGAGTATACTTTTTCTCGCGCAGACAGGTAGGTATATGTGCGTAAACTTATACGTATTCGGATGTATGTGTGCATGTATGTATATATATGTGAATATGTGTACGTATACTCATCGATGGATACATTGAGTTAATGGGCAGTCGCTCTATGAGGATGGTAGGTGCATGTACTCTGTACTCACATATCACACACACACACGCACACGCACACGCATACACTACAACTCACGTATCACACAAACACACGCACAAACACACGCACAAACACACGCACACGCACACGCGCACGCATAAACTACTACACAGGGGAGGTGGTCGATCGCTTTGGCGTTCAACAGAGCAGAGGGCAGAAGGTGTATGACATATACAATGGGGACGTGCGACAGTTCGATGAGGATGGCACTCCGAGCGTTGACATCCGGGGCAATGCCTTATTCCAGGATGCATACGGCCAAGGTATGGCGAGGATAGCGTTGTGTGTGTGTATGTGTGTGTG